TCAACCCACGAGTCTCCCTTTGCCCCTCTGATTCCTTCCCCATTCCCAGGTGGGAGCTGTGTGGTGTTTGGCTGCTGACCAGGCTCAAACCATGAGTTACACCCACTGACATACACACCAACATGACATGCACACACACCCGTCTTGCCTGTTGCTGACCTCACCAAAGAACAGTTGGAAGAGCAACTGACATCATCTACGTGGACTTGTGCAAAGCACTTGACACGGTCTCACATGACATCCTTGTCTGTAAGTTGGAGAGACAGTGATTTAGTGGATAGAACACTTGGTGGATAAAGAATTGGTTGGATGGTCACACTCAAAGAGCTGAGGCCTTAGGCTCAACATCCAATTAGAGAACAGAGATGAGTGTCATTCCTCAGGGTTTGGAGTTGGGGCTGGTATTGACTGACATCTTTGTCGCTGTCATGGACAGTGGGATCGAGTGCATCCTCAGCAAGTTCACAGATGACACCAAACTGTGTGGTGTGGTGACATGCTGGAGGGGGAACCTGGACAGACTGGAGAAGTGGAGGTTCCCCAGAAACCTGGACAGACTGGAGAAGTGGGCCCATACAAACCTCATTAAGTTCGACAAGTCCAAGCTCAAGGTCCTACCCATGGCTTGGGACAACCTCACATACAAATAGATGCTGGGCAAGGAGTGGATTGAGAGCAGCCCTGCGGAGAAGGACTTGGGGGTGGTAGTTCATGGAAAACTAGCTGTGAACCAACAATGTGCACTCGTAGGCCAGAAAACCAACCGTGTCCTGGGCTGCATCAAGAGAAGTGTGGCCAGCCGGTCAAGGTGGGGATTCTCCCATTCTGCTCTGCTCTCATGAGACCGGCCCTGTAGTCTGGTTTCCAGATCTTGTGATCCAAACATAAAAAGGACATGGATATGCTCAAGCAGGTCCAGAAGAGGCCGTGAAGATGACGGGAGGGTGGGAGCACCTCCCTTGTGAGGACAGGCTGAGAGAGTTTGTTTTGTTCAGACTGAAGAAGAGAAGGCTCCAAGTGAGAAATTCTAGTGGCCTTCCAGGACTTAAACAGGGCTATAGGAAAGATGGGGAGGGACTCTTTATCAGGGGTTGCAGGGATAGGACAAAGGGTAATGGGTTTAAACTGAAAGAGGGTAGATTTAGATTAGATAAAAGGAGGAAATTCTTTACTATGAGGATGGTGAAACACTGGAAGGGGTTGCCCCGAGAAGTGGTGAATTGCCCCTCCCTGGAACTTCTCTAGGCAACATGTTACAGTATCTTAGCATCCTCATTGTAAAACATTTCTTCCTTATTTCAAATCTAAATCTACCCTCTTTCACTTTAACACCATTGCCGCTTATCCTTCTAATACAGATCCTGGTGAAAAGTATCACTCCATCTTTCTTGACCTGTAACCACTATGTTTTCATCTCCAAACACCTTTGAGAGTGCCCAAACATCACCCCAAGATGGGGTTTAGAGGACTCAAGCACATGTCCAATGTGCTTAGGTATAAACATTCTGGGCTAAGTGTTGTGGAGACTTGGGACAGTCTGGGAGTAGCCCAAGAAACCTTGAAGGGTGGTTTGAGAGACGGTGGACTTTTTCTTCATAGTGGAAAACAGCATGAGAAAGAAATAACGTCATACTGTGCAGATGGGAAAGTCCAGACTGGACAACAGGATAAATGCTGTGGTGCAACACATGACCTAGGAGGAGTACGGATCAGAACAAGGCTTTGTTTTTCAAGGAAGAGCCAGGGAGGATGGTGAAATGTCAGGAAAGAAAGGAAGGTGCTCAGGGGGAGTGAGGTGAGACAGGTGGGATGAGGACAGCCTGCAGGGAAAGAGGTGCTGGGGAGGCAACCACATAGGACAGCCTGTGGCAGAGATGACAGAGGGCTGTGGGAAAGCTGAAAACCCCCCAAAAAGTCAACCCCATCACGATTTTGTCTATGGCTGTTGTCCCTGCCACTGATGCCTCTGAGGAGGCACAGTCCCTTGCAACATGGGGGCCTCATGGCCTCCTTGTGCATCCTCAGGAGCCTGGGAGGTGCACATCTCCATAGCCCCTACCCCAGGAAGAGCCCTGAGGAATGTGGGAGGGACAGGATCTCCCTTCCCAGGGGCTGGGGATCGTGGCTTGGCCATTTTGTTATTGGACTTAGGACTTGGAACTTTGGCTTATGCAACACATGCAGGTTTACTCAGCATCAGATCCACCTTTCCCTTTTTGTTTCTGACTAGTCATCACTACTTTCAGATTTCTGCTCTAACAGGACCCTGGGGAGGCTTTGTCAACAGTGTCCCTCAGTGGAAACAATTAAAGCCAGAAGAAACTTTGGAGTTTGAATATAACTTTGAATTCTTCAGAGGTTTCTTCAGCTTCTTTGTCTTTGATGTTCATGGAGTTGGCACCAAACCCTCCTGAGGGGTCATTAAACTGCCTTGGGCTGATGCTGTGGTGCTGAGCTGGGCCGGGCTCCTGGGCTGGAGGGAGCTCCTGGCAAGTGGGCAGCGCTGCAGAGAGACAACTCTGCCCAGGAGCAGCTCCTCTGCAAAGTGCAGCAGGGCTGAGGGTACTGCCTGCAGGCACCCAGGGCAGAGCAGCGAGGCACACACAGCTTCAAGGCAGCCTGGGCTGGGAGGCTGCCGAGAGCTCCAAGGAGGAGAAAGCATCAGGGCCCTGGCCACAGTAAGTCTGGGGGTGCAGGGCAATGCAGCTGCAGCTCAGGGAGGGATCTGGGGAAGGTGGCAGAGCCGCCAGGAATCTGCCTCCTGCCTAGAGGAGGAGGAGGAGGAGGAGGAGGAGGAGGAGGAGGAGGAGGAGGAGGAGGAGGAGGAGGAGGAAGAGGTGGAGGAGGAGGAGGAGGACAAGGAGGACGAGGAAGAGGAGGAGGAGGAGGAGGAGGAGGAGGAGGAGGAGGAGGAGGAGGAGGAGGAGGAGGAGGAGGAGGAGGAGGAGGAGGAGGAGGTGGAGGAGGAGGAGGAGGACAAGGAGGACGAGGAAGAGGAGGAGGAAGAGGAGGAGGAGGAGGAGGAGGAAAAGGAGGAGGAAGAGGAAGAGGAAAAGGAGGAGGAAGAGGAGGAGGAAAAGGAGGAGGAAGAGGAGGAGGAAGAGGAGGAGGAAGAGGAGGAGGAAGAGGAGGAGGTGCTCCCGAGCAGGGCTTCCCTGGTGCCCCCTACGAGGGCCAGGGCATGAGGGCTGCCTTCTGGCAGGGCCAGCTGCAGGGGTGTGCAGCCGGGTGTGCAGGCAGGGGTGCCCAGGGCTGTCCTTCCCAGCAGGGTCCCTGCACCCCAGGGGCTGTGTGCTGGGGCAGGGACTCTGCCGCCTGCCAGGGTCAACATTCAGCCTGCTCGGGGAGCTCCCCACAGCGTTGTGGGGAGAAGCTGTGGGGGGAAGGAGAGACCCCGTCCAGGGCAGGCTCCTTCTGCTCTCCAGAGGCTGCTGCTGCATGGATCAGGGATGCTCACAGCTCCAGATCACTCAGAGGGCTTTTGCAGAGGTTCTTTCTGCAGAAGGATATCAAGGCTGCTTTTACTTGAAATGGAAGGACCTTTTCTTTGAGATTTCTTTTCTTGGTTGGCCAGGTGGGCATTGCTAGATTTTTTTCTCCACTCTAGTGGAATAACTCAGATCTCAGTTGTCTTTAGCACTCTCGGTCGCGCCTGAGCCCCTGCACCTAGACAGATGTCCCTGAGCAGTGTCCTGCTGCCAGGAGGGTTTCGCAGGGCAGAGCTGAGCACACAGCAGGTGGGATGGGGGCTGGCAGCACTGACAGGGAGAAGATAAGGGGACAGAGAAACATCTCCATGGAGGGACAGCTCCAGGCACCAGAGATATGGGCATGAAGGGAGAGGGAGTTGCTGCCAGGAACGCTGTGGGAGGGGGGATTCTGGCACCTCCCTGCCATTCCCTGTAGTGCAGATGCCTTCCATGGAGAAACCCCCTGATCTCCTCCCTGTCCAACACAGTCTCTTACCTCAATGTCATGTGGCACCTTTCCAGCGGCCTCACCCTTGAAGTTGAGAAACTACCCAGTACCCAACTGCCTGTCCCTTTCTGCCTCCAAGAACATGAGCAGTGTGGTATTTCTCCATTTTCCCCCTCCTGTATCTGCTCCCTTTACTGTCATCCCTGGACTTGCTGGGATGGGGGGTGATGGGATTAAGCTGCAGTTTTGAGCCCAACCCTGTGGGACCTGGCGTGCACATGTGTTCTTGGGGGTAAAGTCTCCTCATAATCTGTGGGCTCAGGGCAAAACAAAGGACACAATTCTCTCTTCAGGACACCTCCATTTTAGACACTCAACTCTTGCTCTGAGGGGCTCATGCTGGGCTGCAGGTTTCTCTCCAGGTGGGCACTGCTTTCGTGGGGCACCTCTGTGTTATCCAGCAGCCCCAGGGAGGAAACACCTCAGTGCTAAGGCCATGGAAATGCTGCTGGGCGTCTGCACACAGGCAGCTGCAATGAGCCCTCTGTGTCCCTGGCTGGGAGGGGAGATCTGAGATCCTCCTCAGGTGTGATGAGAGGGGATGAGGGCTTTGGAGAGCTGTACTTGGAGACTGGATTCCTCTAGTCCCAGCAGTGTCCAGTTTCCATCATCCAGCTCAAAGCGGTGCCAGCACAGGGCAGATGAGACCAGGGCTGATGGATAGAGCAACTCTCCTCACTCTGAATTTCAGGACAGCCCCTTAATTTCTCAAGACACACAAAGTTTCAGTAGGAGTTCAGCAGAAATGCCATCAATTTCTGCCTTAAAAGCACTCCTCATGTGTAGTGATGCAACGAAAACAGTTTAAAAAAAAACATTATCCCCACAGCTATGCCTTGCAGTAAGGTGAATTGTTAGCAAAAATGCTGAACATGAGTGGATTTAATCCGTGATCACCCATGTTCCGATTTCTCTATGGCTGTCTGTCAGGACCGACTCCTCCAGAGCTCACAGCAGAGCCGAAGGACTTGGTTAAAAGGGAGAGGCAGTCACTGAGAGATATGAAGTAGGTTTTATCTCAGACAAGTCTACACTAACATTTCAATGTCTTCTTCTCTGTGGACAGTGCCCAATGACCAGTGGAAGCAATTTTTAAACAGCAGCTCCATCACTGAGTTCCTCCTCCTGGCATTCGCAGACAGACGGGAGCTGCAGCTCTTGCACTTCTGGCTCTTTCTGGGCATCTACCTGGCTGCCCTCCTGGGCAACGGCCTCATCATCACCGCCATCGCCTGCGACCACCACCTCCACACCCCCATGTACTTCTTCCTCCTCAACCTCTCCCTCCTTGACCTGGGCTCCATCTCCACCACTCTCCCCAAAGCCATGGCCAACACCCTCTGGGACACCAGGGACATCTCCTACTTGGGGTGTGCTGCACAGCTCTTTTTCTTTCTCTTCTTGCTGTCAGCAGAAGTTTCTCTTCTCACTGTCATGTCCTATGATCGCTATGTTGCCATCTGCAAACCCCTGCAATACGGGACCCTCCTGGGCAGCAGAGCTTGTGTCCACATGGCAGCAGCTGCCTGGGGCACTGGGGTTCTCTATTCTCTCCTGCACACGGCCAACACATTTTCCCTACCACTCTGCCAGGGGAATGCTGTGGACCAGTTCTTCTGTGAAATCCCCCAGATTCTCAAGCTCTCCTGCTCAAATTCCTATCTCAGGGAAGTTGGGATTATTGTGGCTAGTGCCTCTTTAGGATTTGGGTGTTTTGTTTTCATTCTTTTTTCCTATGTGCAGATCTTCAGGGCCGTGCTGAGGATCCCCTCTGAGCAGGGACGGCACAAAGCCTTTTCCACGTGCCTCCCTCACCTGGCCGTGCTCTCCCTCTTTCTCATCACTGTCATGTTTGCCCACTTGAAGCCCCCCTCCATCTCTTCCCCATCTCTGGACCTGGTGGTGTCATTTCTGTACTCAGTGGTGCCTCCAGCAGTGAACCCCCTCATCTACAGCATGAGGAACCAGGAGATCAAAGATGCCCTGAGGAAACTGATAACAGGATGATTTTCAGAAACAGTAAAATACCTGTATTCTGTAAATAACGTAAAAGGTAACTCATTACACAGTAGGCCACAGTCTGTAGGTTTTGCTGGGGTTTTGGGGGATGATTTTTTTTGTTTTGTTTTGTTTTACTTTACATAAAATTCTCCACAAAGAAGTGTGATTAATTGTAGGTTTTATAATTTGGCATCTATCAAGATTTGTGTGACTGAGAGACTTTGTAAATGAGGACCCATGCTCTCTTTGTGTTTAAAAAAAATAAAGGATAATGCAGCAATATATTTCTCTGAGATCCTTCCTCCAAGTTGTTCTCTGGATCTACTGGGTCAGTGCTTGTGTGCAGAGGTGGAGGGGAAAAGTGTCTTGGCAGAGCAGTGCTTCCAGGAAGGAAATGCGCTTGATCTTTCCTAACCTGCTGGTTTTAAACTTCCCCTTTTTGCTCCTGAGCCCTTCTATTGGTCTATGATCTGAGTGCTTTTGTGCCCTGGTCACTGTCCCACGATGTGACAGTTCTGTGACCTCAGGCAGGGACAGGCAGTGGGCACTTCTGTGACAGAGCTGGCCTTCATGACAGCATTTCCATCAGACAAGGGGATCTCCTCAGGGCAGTGCAGGAGGGCTTAGGTCTTCTTCCAGAGTTGCTCTCAAGAGCATACCCAGGAAATTGCCTGGGAGAGAAACCACCAGTGAAGAGTGGAAATGTGTGAGTGTGCAGAGTGTGGGCACACAGCAGCGTCCTCACACATCCAGGCTCCTGAGAGAGACATGAAGGCCCATCAGAGCAGGGGCTGGGCTGTGCCCATGTGCTCTGGGCACGCCGGGGAAGCTGCCCCAGGGCACTCACCACAGACCAGGACATAGCAACCACCATTTCCAGCATGGTCCTCTCACTCCAGCTCAGAGAGGTTGTTTATCTTTCTTCAGAGGGACAGAAACGGATTAGGTCAGAAGTCCAAATTTGCATTGTGTCTGTCTGCTCCACCACCCTTCCTTGGCTGTCTGGCCCCTGACTTCAAACTCACAGAATGAAAGGAGCTCTCCTAGGGAGCATCTCACCTGGGCACTCAGAAGGGGTTCTGCAAACATTAGTGACGTTGCCCTTCAGAAGAAGGCATTTCTCACCTTTCAGAAGGCACAGAGCACAACTAGGGAGTGTGAATGCACTCAGAAGCACACATACCTTGATCTTTCACCTCTCTCAACTTCCTTTACAACTCATTGAAGCAACTAAGAAGGAAGCACACGTTCTTCCTCATAGGTACCACCTCTGCTCACAGCAGTGTCAGTGCTGGTTTTGGCACCTTTTGCAGGTGCTGAGTGTTTCCCGCTGGTGGCCACATCCTAAGGTCAGTACTGGGCTGTGTGCCACCCAATTCTCTCTGCAAGATTCCCAAACTGGCAGGTCTGTGCTTAGAAGGCAGCTGCACCCTGGCTAGGGGTATTGATGTCATGTACGGTCATCATCTCATTCCTGTCACAGATACAGTGCTGTGGCCCCAGTGGAGTGGGCCACCTCTTCTGTGATTTCACTGGAGCTCTCCTGCAGTGACACCATGACATTCCTACTGTTTGCTGTCACAGCCTTCTTCTGAGATCCAGTCCTCACCTTCCTCTCCACACAGGCATCCTGTCCGTGCCTCAGAGCTGCCAGCCTGGGGCAGCTCTCCAATCCAGCGTGGGCAGACAGAAGGTCTTCTCCACCTGCTCCTCTCACTAAACTAGTGTCAATGTTTGCTATGACACCCTCATCTTTGTCTGTGTGATGCTGACAGCAGCCCTCCTCAGATGTATGACAAAACCCTTTTTCTACACGATCCTCATGCCCCTGCTCAGTAACCTCATCTACACCCTGTGGAACAGAAATTTGGTGGGGGATAAGGAAGGCACTGAGAAAAATTCTCAGGCAAGCTGTGAGTTGCACAGAGATTTGTGGGCCTGCCAAAAGAAATTCTTTCTGGTTCTCTTGTGAGCAGGACGAGAGGAGAAGGGCAAGCATGTGCTCATTCCTGTGGAAATGTGCAATATTTAGAAGGATTTCAGTGTGGGAGGGGCAGAGAGGTGTTGGTGGGGCTGGCCACTGTTGTCACGAACCTTTCTCAAACATCTTGGAAAATCCAGAAGAATCAGGGAAGTTCAATGCTCCTCTGAAATGGCAAATATCAAACTTCTCTTCAAGAAGGGCAGGAAAGAAGTTTGCAAGAATTACAGGCTGGCCACTTTCACCTCAGTCCCTGGGAAGTTGCTGGGGCAAATCCTCCTGCAGACATATCCAGGCCCTTGAAAGAAAGGAAAAAGATTACTGAAGGTATATGGGAGGGGAGAGTAGGCAATGTTGTGTACCTGGACTTTAACAGGGCCTTAGACATGGTCTCCCATGGTCTCCTTACAGCCAGATTGGTTCTATCTGGGCTGAAGAAGTGGACGATGAGGTGGGTGGGAGTTTTGTTGGATGACCAGGCCCAGGTGTCATTGGTAGTACAGAGTCCTCCTGGCAACTAGTCAATAATGACATTCCTCGGTGACCAGCAACTTGGGCCAACACTGTTGAACGTCTTTATTATTTCCCTGTATGATGCCCCTTGACTCAGCACTGGTGCAGCTACATATGGACTAGTGTGTCTGGGGGTGGGGCTCCCTGTTCTGGAGGAATGGAGGGGAAAATGGAAAAGGTCCTAAGGAGATCTGTGAGGATGGAATTTGGTGCCTGTGTGGAGAGTCTGAGGGACGTGGGGCTGCTTAGCCTGGTAAAGTGGAGGCTCAGGTCACTGTAGCAGATGTCTGCAGCTTGAAGGATGGTTTCAGAGATGATGGAGCTTTTCTTGGTTGTGGGAAGAGAAGAAAAGCTCCACAAAGTGTAGCTTGGAAACTTCAGTCTAGATGTGAAGGAAGGAAATCTCACTACAAGGGTTGCATTGTGGCATAGGAGGTGCCCAGAAGGACTCTCAAAAAGCCCACAGCATTGTTTTTCAAGGAGCAGCCAGCAAGGATGGAGAGACTTCAGTGACGATACAGAAATGCTGGGGTGACAGCTCGGTGGGAAAGCAAGATGGGTGTCAAAATCCTGAAGAGGAAAAGGTGCATAAAGGGGACAGTAGAAGGAGACCTGCAGTAGTGGTGGCCAAGGGCTCTGGAATGGCTGAAAGGCCACACAAGAACAAGCTCTTTGTCCCCTTGACAATGGCAGTCACCTCTGTTGCTGAGGCCTACCAGGATAAACCTTATTTTCAGGTTCTGAAATTTGTTTTGACCTCTCCTCTTCTTGGGGAAGCTGGGAGGTGTTGAGCAGTTTCCCTACACGTGGCATTGCTCATCCTCACACCCCACTGCCAACCAGGAAGAGCCGTGAGCCACACGTGAGGGACAGGACCTACCTTTGCAGGGCCTGGGGGTCAGGGCTTGGTCTTTCTCCTTCATTAAACAAACAAGTGGGTTTTGTAGCCTTACAGCCACCTGCACAGTGCCTTTGCCTACCTGCAAACACAGCCTCCAATTAACTGCTCTAGCGAGTCCATGGGGAGGCTTTGTCAGTAATGGCCCTCAGTGGGGCCAATCAATACTTCAAGGTACTTTGGGTTTTCTTCTGACTTTGACTTCTTGAGTATTTTGCTCAGTCTCCTCTCGGTATCTGAGGCTCATAGACTCAGGGCCAAATACATCGTGGGGCTCATTAAAATACAGAATGTCCTAACAAACCTTGTCTTTTCCTGTTATTTACTTGAAGTCTTCAAGACTTGTACAGCTAATTGAATTATTTTTGGAATGTAGTTAAGGAGGAACATTTCAAAATGTATCTAATAAAAATAATTCATAATTTTAATGAGCATTTTATATTAATTTCAGTTTAGAGAAGAGGTGATAACAACATTCTGTGTCTGATATTGATGCAGAGTGTCTCCTCGGGAGGTCTGGACAGTCCCTTGGGGTCCAACACAGTATGGACAACCTTCCTCCTCAATGCCCAGTCTCACCATTTCTCACATTGGCCCCCTGGGACTTGCATCACTTCTCCTTACATCAGCCTTCTCCACTGATCTCTGCAGCTGGATGTTACAGGTCCTTTGCACCAGCTCCCACTGCTGTCCTTAGAGAACTGGCTGCACACAGGCACAGAAGGGTTTTAGTTTCTTGGAAACAAAGAAATCTAAAGTATGAGAAAGTTTCATCAACAGTAAAAGCACCCCACAAACATATGCCAAGTACAAGATTTCACTAATGAGGTTGCCTTTTGTAAGGTCTAATGTTAGGAGAAATACTTTAAGGAGGTAAATAGAAAAAGATAAACACAATTAAAGTGCTGACTAAGGAAACAATGAGGCTATTGAAAGTTTTTACTCCCTGGAGTTCAAAACAGCAGCATAGGTGAGAGTTATCTGAAGGAATGAAGAATAAAGGGAAGAAGAATTCTGGAGAATAATGGAAAGGGCCTTTGCTTCGGCAGTCTGCATCTGAAAAGTTGATGTGAGAAATGTTCATTGTATCCTGGCCAGGTGCAAATTCATGAAAGATTAGAGAAATTAAGTACGTGGTAAACCAGGCAGGATAGTGGCAATGAAGATAGACTAGAATATGGATATTTCTTTGGCATATGCCTTTTAAGAGGTCATGGGATTGGTAGAGGCTTCTTGTGGGAGAGGACAAGCCAATGTTGCAGCCATCTTTGAAAGAGCCCCCAAGGGCCACCCAGGGAATCACAGGCTGTACAAGCTCTCTTTGGTGAGGAGTGTGCCGTCAGTTAGAGTCCTCTTGGGTGACGTTCCTGGGCACCTGAAAGAGAAGAAAATGTCCAAATGCAGTTGGCAGAGACTGTCCAAGGGTAAATCATGCCCCGCCAACCTGATTTCCCGCAGGATGAAGTAACTGATTTTGTGCATGACATAAGAACAGTGGATGTCAGGTACCTCCAATGCAGCAAGACATTGGCCATGATCTCCCTCAATATTCTCATACCCACGTTGGGTCATTACAGTCTGGGTGGGTCGACAGACAGGGAGGTGAAACACCAG